TGGTGTGCGTCTCTCGTATCCTCGTTTTTTTTTTTGAGAAAAAGCGCCATTATGACATGATGATTAAAAAACAAAAATTGTTGCGTATCATATACGTATGCTGTTTAGAGCTTTGGGCAACGGCGAGACTGCTGCCTGTGGCCCTTCCAGGCGAGTGACGGCCAACGAAGCTTGCCACCGTAGACAGAAGGGGCCTTATTGTATATCCAAGAACATCGAACCGCTAGGGTGGCTCTGCCGCGGGCGTGGGATCGATTGGCGTGTCGTTGGGGTTGGTCTATGTTGCCTGAAATCGCCATTCGACTGTGTAATACTATGTGGGCCTCTTTCCGATAGACTTCCCGACAAAAAACACCATCACGAAACATGCTTGATCGGTGAGCAAGTGACTCGTATTTGGCCCCAGTGTGCGCCCGTGGTTAAACCCTGCCCCTGTGATGCTCAGCAGCCCCTTGCAAGTGCACCGGGTTCAGTGTTTATGTCGCCAGCGGTTGTTGCGAGGTAGCAGACCTCTCGCGACCCCGCCAGGATGCGAGCTGCGTGCCATGAAATTTTGCAAAACCTGCTGCGTTCGCCCGAGCTGATCCATTTTCGGGCGTCAAACTATCAATCGTGGACCAAGTTGCCCGGGAGAGCATTGCAATTCACCGCCATACCCATCCTCTATCAGATGTAAGCGACCTGCGTCGCCCTAGGGGTGTACGCACGCCACAACGCCGTCGATTACCACACGCCCGGTGTTGAGCATTTGCCTCTTCCGATAAGAGCCAAAAAGAGGCTTGAAAAAAAAAAAAAAACATTTTGCAGTGGCATGCCGTGCGACTCACTCCTTCTCGGAACGTTTCCCCGCGAATCGGAAGTAGGCTTCTCGGAACGTTTCATCCCGAGAAAAGCGTCATTTTATCACACGGTGACATAAGATACCACCCCCCCTGAAGTTGGGCAGCATATCATTGACGGAGCCCCCGCTTATCACACGGTGTGACAACGTGAGGGCATGAGATCACAAGCAACAACCTACTCGCAAAGGCCATGGAGGCCAACAATGCCGTAGAGGGTGGTGCAGTTAGCAACCCTGCTGAAAGCCCCGCGGCTCAGACTGCAGTGGGTAAGACTCCAGCGGCGGCCCCACGCTCCATAGCGTCCTTCTTTCAACCCGCCTCGGGGGAACGTGGGGCTGCTGGGACGACTCCCTCAGCAGTCGCGCATGACACCGCACGTACTGCTGAGGCCCGCCCGACAGAATCTACCGCTGCTGAGACTCCCACAGCACCGGCTGCCCCTGCCACCGCGGGTGTCGCTGAAACCTGCGAAGCAGACCCTACTGCTGAGACTCCCGCAGCACCCACACCCGCACCCGAAAAGGCAGCTCTCCCGCCAACCACCAACATCCTGAGCGCGGCTACTGCTGAGAACCCTGCAGCAGCACCGCTCTGCGGAGAACCATCGTGCACCAACAAGCCCTTGATATTAACACCCCTTGATCACACCCCCTGTAACCAGGTCCCGTGAGCGCGCTTCATCACACGGGCGACGGTATCACACCCCATTGTTATCACACCCCCTGTTGGTGGGGCTCTGTGAGTACACTTTATCACACGGGTAACAAAAGATATCACACCCCCTACAGAATACCACACCCGTGTGATAACTTTTGTCCCCCCGAAAATGTCATCACACGGGTGTGGTATCTTATGCAACCTACGGTATATACAACCTACGGTATAGCTTTGACGTGCAAGAGGCATGCCCCCCCTCGATCGACAGACAAACTTTCGTTTTCTCTGAGCTGAATTCTCTCGGTCCCATTTGGCCCCATGGAATCGGCGACTTGGCGCGGTACTTTTGCATCAAAAACGCCCTTTGCGTCCCGTCTTGAACCCCTGCGATGCGTCCAACAAACAGTATTCCTTCTGCCTATGTTTTCATGCCCCTAAATTTATTCTGTGGTGCTTTGGTGAAAATTAGTACATGTGTAGCGCTTATCCTGCATTGGATTTCTTCGTTCACCTGGTTTGGGGCCACGGCGGCGTACTGCTCGAATGGAAGGGGGGGCTGTTGAAGATGTTGCTGTTGATGGCCCTGCCACCCCTGCTGCTGCTGCTGCTGCTGCTGCTGCTGCTCTTGCTGCTGCTGCTGGACAGCAGGAAGGCATGGTGTAATATAGCCGAGCTGCGCTCCATGAACGTAAGGGTCGTGGCCCAATGAATTGGCACCGCCATCTTCACCCGTCGCTGCACTGTACTGCTGCCCAGGCCCGCCGCGCGCTGCGGCCGGGTTTGGTGCTGTAATATACAATCCCGGGTCGGCAGCGCTACCGCCACCGCCGCCGCCGCCGCCGCCGAAACCGAAGAAGCCATCATCTCCGCCCACGGTCTGGGGCCGCACGAAGAGGTTGCCGGGAACAGGTCGATTGCCGCTAACCATGCCGAACAGGAGCGACACAATATCGTCCAGCTTGCCGTTGGCCACCTTCAAGTCGTCGCTCAGCATACCCACCTCTCCCATGAGGTTGCCCAGGGCATCCGACTTCTGCACGTCAGCTGACCAAGGAGCAAGCCGTATCAGCAGGGTAGAGAGATGTGAGACTTCCTACCACCCCCTTGTGGTGGAGGTGGAGGCCGGTGTGTGGCCGGGTGGGCCACACACCAGTCCAACAAGTGCGCGCGTGATCAACTTCGGGACTAAGAACGGAGACGCGGCAGCAAAAATAGTACTCCAGGACACTCAAGATGTACACCGTTTACTTTGTGCACCGTAGTCGCCATCCAACATCGTTTTCTCGAGGCCTCTTATCAGCCCCATCACGTCGTTGGTCAGGTGAACTGCATATTTGCCGCATGCTGGAAGTGACAAGAGTCCCGCACCCCCTACCGAACGTTGCATTGCGACCCATAATGAAGAAGTTTGGGTATCAGAAGGCGCCGCATCTACCCCCGACTGCAGGAGCCGCACCTTGTCTGCGCTTCATGCGCCCGTCGTCCTTCTGCCGCTTGATTCCCACGAGGAGATCCCTCCGGCCCCGGCGAAACTGCGGGTGCTTGAACTCCTCCCAGGACGCCGACTCTTCGGCTTCTGCCGCCTCTCCCTGCGCAGAGGAGGAGGCAGAACTCGCGCGAGACGACGCCCCTCTTCCCCTGACCTTCTTGAAGCCTGGGGTGGGGAAAGAAAGGAAACAGGAACGGGATTGACGGTGTCCACTTTCGTCTGGGTCTTGCGCGGCCATGGTTACCTGATGCCCCGAACGTGAAGACCAACACCAACATCTGCGACGCGCGCCCATCAGTGCTTGGTCTCTCTCTTGCACCCTCGAGTTTCAACGACACCTGTACAACGAACTCTCACCGTAGAAGTTGAGCTGCCGCACGAAGGACAGAAACTTCTTGTGGTTGTAGTACGATGGCAGGAGCCCCTCGAATGCCAGAACCTGAAGATACAGCCGAACAAGACGGGGAGGTTAACCGAGTCACGGTGGTTGGTGGTTTTCAGCAAGCACACAACAAACGCCACCGTTACCAACGGTACGCCCCAACACTGTTTCCCCCCTTGAACGCTCGGGTGAGATCACACCACAACCACCGCTGTCCTCTTTTCACCATCCTTGACGAGCGTTCGCCTCCTCTCTGTATGCCACTGCTGTAAGTATTTCGAGCAATGCCAATGTCCCAAGGGTCGTCAACAACCACCATGGTCGTAATGGGCGGTAGTATTTTGTTTCCCCGGTGTGTTGTTCCACGTACGACACGACTGGCATGTTGACGAATGTTGTGCGTTCCCGTAGCACAAGATATGGACGCATAAAGGCCATTACAAGCGTCGTCAACGCTGATTCAGGGAATTTGTGCCAAGATACGCAGGTACCTACAAGTCTTCCAAATTAGGCTTGCTTTTCGAATAAGGGGGGTTCTCGTAATACGACTGAATTAGTCTCCGAGGGCGGCAACTGCAAGAGGGAGGGGGGGCTGAACTTAGATCCCCCCGGCCAACTCAAACTGCTGTATCTAGCTCTTCAGCGATTGTTTTCTTTTTTTTTTGGGGGGGGGCTCCACGGTGTCTTCTGATTCACTGACCACGGGAAGGTTCTTCAATCTAATCTTGATTATATGAACAACTAAGATGGACTTCCTCCGTGTGGGCATTTCTTAGGTATTTATTTCCCATGGCTGGAGTTATCATGTTCTGGACGGCGTTAACCAGAACAGTCCAAATCACGAATTTAACAAATTGGATTGGCTGCACCGGACAAAAAACATGTAGCCACCACTAGTCTACACCAAATAAATTAGCCATTTGATTGTTATGCACGAGGGTGCGATAACTCCGGACCGTCCGGTGACTCGCAATCTTACGGTACCCGTTCGAGATCTTTCTCAGAGGGGTGTTACGGGAGTTGAATTGTAACAAGTTGTCAACGGTTTGCGGAGTAATTCCCTGAGGAAAGTGCGGGAGATGTAACACTCCCGATGGAAGGATAAAACAGGGGACAGGACTTGAATTGTAACAAGTTGTCAACGGTTTGCGGAGTAATTCCCTGCGGAAAGTGCGGGAGATGTAACTCCCGACGGAAGGATAAAACAGGCGGGGACAGGACCTTGGTGGTCCCTTTTAGAGGGAACATGTCCTCCCCCTATAAAGGAGCTCCAGCTGTTGGAAGCAGCTGGGTCCTAGGGTAAAGAAAGAGGTACGGTCGCTTGATGCCTTGTCTCCAAGATTGTGTAGAAATGAGATGTTGCTTGAATTGAGAGCGAGGAAGGTCTGATTGAGGAGGGGATCCTCCTAGCAACCAGGGGGCACGCAGATAGCTGAGTCCCGATGTGGTATGGTCCCTGAGAGGTATACCTCACGGACATCCCACATCCTATGCTAGACCAAGATGTACCCTATCTAGGCCCTACAGCAACACTCCTTAACACCCCTCTGTGCTCAGTCTACGTTTGAGAGCAAAGCAACAGCAAGCATTGTTGTTCCAAGAGATTAATGAACAAGTGAGTCATCATCAGGGTCTTCAGGGTTCGCTACGCTTGTAACTACAAACACAGAAAGGCTACCCGTTCGGGACATACCCGCAACAGTTGAACGGGATGTGAATATGTACCGATTTTCAAAGCTCCATGGCTGGCTCCAAAACCAAGTTGGTGTCAATAGCCCGCCGATATACGCCTCGGGAAAGCCCTCGATGAGATGATGAGATGTAAAATGTGTTTCCAAAACCACCACTTTTTTTGGAGTTGGCAGCTTGGTTGTGGAGCGATCGAGCTTCGAAAATCGGTCTAGGGGGTGCCATCTCTCCGCCTCTTCGGTAATTGGGGCCGCCGTCAGTGTGTTCACCTCATCACTTTTAGAAAAAACGAAAGGTCCTCTGATTATGTACTTGACGCATAAGTATCGTGCGTACACGTAGACTCTAAATGGTACACCGCGGCTGCATACAGCGGTATGAAGCGTTGGCCGCAGATAGCGTACAACGGAGCGGCGTACCGGAACCGTAGGGACGGAAGATGTGATGTGTGTGCATAACGATCCTCGTCATGCAACAGCCGTGCTGGCCCGCTCGTGCGACGCAATAGCTATGTAGTAGATAAGAACATCTTGCGGAGGCTCTGCAGCGCGGCAATTTGATTTGAAGAACCCATTTGCAAGAACCCGCCGAAGAGTACCATGGTACAAGAATAAGAAAGGAAGCGGGAAGCAGAAGCGGGAAGATTAGCCGCAGGCACGACACGGCGATTGATAGAGCCTTCGCTCAATAGAGAGTCTTCGCTCAATCGCTGGGACACTGCCGTTGTATGACTTCCAGCCTTGCTCGATCTAGGCGCTTCTTACGAATGGGCCGGCACTGACGCGGATTGGCGGAAGATACATACTTTCATCATCACTGCTGCTGTGGTTTTGCCGTGTACTTTCGTGCAGGGGGAGCCATCTGGCGACGGTATTGTAAGAAAAAATACAAACAACTTTTCTTTGGTTTGCTCCGTACCTTGCTATTGCATGCGTTGTTGCTCGCGGTACAAGACGCGCCATTTAGGGCGGAACACCACTGCACACGAGGTACGATACCTGCCTGGAAAGGGCAGTTCTCCTTTGAAGTTGGGGATCACAAAAGGATCTTGGCGGAATCCTCTCCAGCAGCCTCATCTCGATTTGCATTGGTTGGGTAGCGCACTTCTTTTTTTGGTCGTTGTCAGCAGGCAGTTTGCCATCGTCGCAAGAATGACTGACCGAAGGACCAAAAGGAAGGACACACGAACACACACCAGACTTGCATTTCGTGCTGATGCCGTGAGAAGGTGTGTTCGATAGCTGTGCGGACATGTGCAACAGCGAACACCATGAAAGCGCCACCCACTACAGCAGAAATTAGCCACTCCTCTACAATACCTTTTTGACGATGAACGAATCTCCCACTTCCGACCAACACACGATGTCTGGCGATGTGTCCTCGATGAAGCTGAATGTCCGGTCCAAAAACACGGGGATGTGGTTGCTGTTGTAGGGTTCGTTTGCAGCCTTCCGCGGCGAAGCAGCTTCCATGATGGATGTGTATTGCGCTGCCGTAGAGATCTTCTGGTGTGGCTGTTGGAGGATGCTGATGCCTCTGCAGCTCCAGCTCGTGGGGGTGACCAGGATGAGTGATTGCGGTGCTGGTTGGTGTGTGGCGTGATTTGGCAAGTCTGTGCTGCAGAAATCACCCGAACTTCGATTTTTTTATTTGTCGAAATTTTTCCGAAATTCATCACCATCACCGGCCATCTGCGTGCGTTAGAAGCGACGAAGAGCCCGCGGCCTGATGATGTATCTACAGAGTACAACCCAAACCTGAAATTATTTCATGTTTTCCTCCACTCACTGAAAATACTCCAACATATCCCGTTCGACTGTGTGGGTATATCTCGAATAGATAGGTAGTCTTTCTGTTCGTGTATTTATTTTTCCTTAATGCTCTCACGGAGAACGTACAGGTCAGGTCAGATCACATCTATCTTCCGGTCAGATGCAAAGGGTTCTCATCGCCGACCGGAAGGAATTCTCTGTTCCAAATGGAGGTGCGAGAATGTCGCAGATCGGGAGGAACAACGCCAAGTAACACACGCCGCCCAACCACAGACATCATACCTCTTCAATCAGGGTGTGTGAAGGCGACACTGCTGTACTACTACTACCGCTCGCTGTAGGGGTGGGCCGTGCGTATACAGCGTATATATATCCACGCCACGAAATCACAACCGATCATGATATGAAAAGATCCCGCTGATCATGCGGTAAAAAGACCCCGGCGCCGGTT